GGGGAAGAACAATAACTAGATCTAGGTCGAGATAATCTTCCCAGGAGCAACAAGTTGTTAGTTCAGGCCAAGGGCGAATTTATCCCCTCGTTTTCTAACTGTGTCAGAGGCAAGTGGCTCTGCTCCTCAGAAATTGAATTAGAAGTCAGGCGTGTTGGTTTTTTACGAGGTCAGCTCTGTGAATGTATCCAGCGAGTTAAGACCACGCTGGTCTTTTTAGGCCAGTCCAGAATTGATGTCAAGGTCGGGGAAATCCAAATACTTGTACCAGCACCACACTCTTGACACAGATCTGAAGGAATATTTCCGCACGTTTTGCGTGTCGCCTTGTTTATGTTGTTGGTGTTGCTGTTGTCGCTACTCTTGTTGTTGTTGTTGTTGTTGTTGTTGCTGTTGTTGCTGTTGTTGCTGTTGTTGCTGTTGTTGCTGTTGTTGCTGTTGTTACTGTTGTTGCTGTTGCTACTCCTGTTACCACAGTTTTATAGAGTCCACACACGTACCATCCTCGGCTTTTGTGTGTGTATTGTTACAGTTTAAAAACAAACTGGTACTGTTGTTGATTCAAAGGGGAATATGCTCAGTATCCTTTGTTACTGCTTCGTTTGTTACATCTACAGTTCATGAGAAAAAAAAAATCAACATTTCTGTGAGTTATTTTCTATCACTGAAAGCAATTTCTATTTCGGCGGATTCATCACTGTCACAATTTCACGTGTCTCCTTTAATGTCCATAATTAGTAACATACACTTATTCATTCCAGAAAATCTGACGTTTTTCAAACTCAATCATGTTCACGATTGCATATTCAAGAAATTTGCGGGACAATGATTTATACCTATGTCGTGGAGAAAAAAAAAAGAAGAAGATTGGTATCTATTCTTCTCGCTCAAAATGAGCGTCATGCAAACCTGTTCTGCATCATATTCTAAGGTCACAGAGCCAGATCAATCTTCTTGGCATTTCTTGTGTAACATAAGAAACGTATGTGCGTCACAGCCACAGGTTGATGACGTTGTGTCCTGGCATTCACGTCGGTGGGGTGGACGTGGGAGCTATCTGATAACGTCTGACTGAGCTTACTCCATAACTCCAGTAACCTGAAATAAAAGAGAACAAAATTAAATAATAAACATTTTAAAAAAGATAAATAATTATTGGACCAAGAAAAGAATGAATATTACGTGGCGTCGATAGTCTATATATTATAAGTGGATAGGATACCGGACTCGACTCGTAATCGTGAGGATGAGGGTTTCGGGGTTCGAGCCTCAGGCTGGCTTCCAAGGAAGTTGAGAGTTTTTTTTAGAATGCAATTAATTTAGTTTTAGAAAGATTTTAACGGCACTTTCTGCACAATCAGTTCATATAAGTGCAGAAAATTAGAGGTGTTACAAGAGAGTAACAAACACAAAAAAAGAAAGAGGAGAGATCAGGACGACAGGTGTTTGATAGGAAAGAATGAGCAGACCCCACCAGAGCACCCACCAACCACCAACAGAATGCTCTTAGGCCATGCCTGGATTAAAAGATAGTCAATAAAGCACTATATAGCTTTCTATTAAGAGGGGATTCCCGCTATACAATTGCTATCTGTCTATCATTATAAAGCAACATTAAAAAAAAGAAAGGAAGTGTCTACGTACTCCCCGATTGGGGTCCACGTAGTCATGGTGTCTAGATGGACCCCCAAAATGTTGGATTGTGATTGGTTTTAAAAGAGCATGAGCCTTTCGTTACCATTTGGCCAAAATGGCCGCCCCCTGGAATCGACTAGATCCTGTTCCGAGAAGGCCACACTATCTGGCCTTCTCGTCCAGTCCCCATGTATGAATCAAGTTGCATGACAGGCCTAGTGTGTTCCGACAAATCACAGGCAAGTAGTCAAGAGTCGCCCACCAGGCCACTACTAGATCTAGAACTAGATCTAGAATCTAAATCTAGACCGAACTGCATACGCTTGGCTGGGTGCACAACAAAATCTAGATCTAGATTTAGATCTAGATACGTTTATTACGTTTATTCAGTAAATAATTTCTCTCTCTCTCTCTCTCTCTCTCTCTCTCTCTCTCTCTCTCTCTCTCTCT